GCGGCCGCCGAGGAGCCCCGGCTGAGCCTGGCACGGAGCCGCGCGCTCCTCCCCGCCTGGTGATGTCACCGCTTCGCGCAGCGCGCAGCCGCGGGGGGCTGCGCTCTTAGGACCCCAGCCCTTCGCTGGCGGCATCGCATTCGACCCCGCACGGCCTGCCGGGGCTCCCGTAGGGGCTGCCCAGTCACGCTCTGACCGGTGGGGAAACTGAGGCTAGTGGCTGCAGACAGGAGGCGGGGCGCGATCCTCCAACCTCGAAGTGCCCCTTCGCCTCCGCTCTAGCACCATTCTACCCTTCGTCTGAATGAGAAACTGAGGCCTGGGGTCGCGGGTGCAGGGCGTCATCCATCCTCCAACCCCGAGGTGCCCGTCACCACCGTTCCAGCAACATTCTGCTTTTCTTCTAAGTTGAGAAACTGAGGCCTGGCTTTGTAGAGGCATCCTCCTCCCTTCCCTAAGTCACTGTTCCAGCCGGACCGTGCTTTCCTGAGTAGGGAAACTGAGGACTAGGGTAGCGAGAAGGTAGCAGAGGTAGGATGTGAGGGTCTCAGTCGCCGACACTTCCAGCCATATCCTGTCTAACTACTTCAAAATAGGGCCTGGGCCAGCGCAGAGACTGGGGTCCAGGACTCGAGAACCTCCAACTCAAAGGTGTCCCCTTCCTCTGTCGCCCTCCCCATGGGCCTAGCCCTGTTTTACTACTATTTAGTGGGTAAATTGAAGCCTGGGGCCAGGACAAGGTTTAAAGGGAAACTGATGTCTGGAAGTGAATCAAGTGCTCGGGACAGCGCAGCCGCCGGCGGGGCTGCGGCTGGAAGGGTCTGAGAGTAAACACAGGCCGCCTCTGCGGGCTCCTGGCCTGTTGCCCAGGCTGTAAGCCAAGGACTCCCGTTTGTTCTTGGGGTTATTAGAACCCGAATATCAGAATTCTCAGGCCTGCCACCAGTCTCACCCCAGGCTCAAGAGACCTCTGAGGTGCCTCCCTCAGACCCCAAGAGGATTCCTTCTGTGAGGGAAAGGGGTTGGCATCACCACCCTACCTCAGTCTCCCCCACCACCACCCACCTACCCCCCCACACACACACCCAGGACAGTCCTGCCGGGAAACAAAGGGAAGAGGGCTGGGCGGGGCAGGGTGTGGAGGAGGGGCAAGGCCAGCCAGATCGATGAGGAGAGAAACTAGATCACTGCGTGCGCCTGCGAAGGGGGCTGGCGTGCGCACGCTCGCGGCCGCCCAGACGCTTAGCAACATCAACAAAGGCACACCACCGAGCCCTTGGTGCTCTCGGCTGGAGGAAGACTGTGGCTGGGCTGAGGTCTGAGAAAGAGGCTGTGGGATCTAGCTGTGTCCAGTGTAGACCTCGGCATTCCGGGTCTGGGTGCCATCCATCCTGTGTCCTCCCCATTGTAGAGAGGGTTGGTTCTACTCTTTAACCTGCTGTACGACAGTAAATCATACTGCAATAGTTTAAATTTCTACACACCCTTCAAAGCCCAGCTTCACAGTACCCTTCCCAAGAACCTAGCAAGTTCCACAATCCAAATCCAGGCTCTAACTCTGGCCTCCTGGTGCCAAGGTCTCCTATTTGCCCCGTCTGGACTGGAATAGGTTTGTAGAGCTGTGGATCTGGAGGGCAATGTTTGTGTTCTTTTGTGGCCTGGCGAGAAATGCTATGTAAACCAATGTGCAAGCCGAGGGGCGCACGCCTTTAATCCCAGCACTCGGGAAGCAGAGACAGGTGAATCTCTGAGTTTGAGGCCAGTCTAATCTAGAAGAGCTAGATCCAGGACAGGTTCCAAAGCTACAGAGAAACCCTGTCTCAAAAAAATAATAAAAAAATAAACCAATGTGCACAATGTTGACAACTGTTGGAGGAACAATTTATTGGCAAGCAACTCTAGAGGGTGGGATAGGTAGGGCAGAGGTATCAGGGTCACCTCCAGGAGAATTCTCCTGCCTCATCTGCAGAAACCCAAGTGGCCTAGATGCTGAATTCTAGGACACACAGCTCCTTGTCCTGCCAAGGGAAGGGATACTCCCTGGCCTGGCTTGACCTAGGAGAAGAAACTGGGGCCCTGGAAGAAGACTCACCCTGACCCCGGATGGGGCCTTGGGTCACTGGTCCCAGGGACAGAAAGATCAAGTGGCCTCTAAGGACCTCAGACTGTCGGAAGGGCGGTGCCTCCTCTGCCCCATTCTGAAGAAATTAGGCCCAGGGAAACTGTACCCAGCAGCCATCAGCATTTGGTGTCCCCTACCACTGTAAATACCCGCTTTGAGTGACGGATTCCCATGGAGTATGCCGGGGCCCGGGCCCGGTTCACAGTGACCTGTTCTGGGTTGTGAGTACCAGGACCAGGTGTCTCCTCCAGGGGCCGAGGGGCGCGGGGTCTCCCCAGTATGCTGAAAGCCGGCCTACGCTGCCGGTAGGTGTTGGGGTCAGGACTCTCATACTGCCCAGGGCCTGGAATCTCTGAGGGATCCTGAGCGGGGCGTGCTGGGGGCCTGCGGCCCACAACTGTGAAGCTGGGGCTGCTAGGTTTGATAAAGATCTGTGATCCCCAGAGGGGCGGCATGCTGTAGGCATTGGGGGCCGGTAAAGAGGCGTCCGGGGGCTTCTGTCGGAGGCGGGAGCCCAGAGTGAAGGCTGGGGGGTTCCGCTGGCGAATCGGGGGAGCCTTCTCGGGGCTGTAGGCCCCAGGGCCTGGTGTCACCTCCAGACCTGGGGAGTGAATGAGCATTCGAACAAGATGGAGGCCTCACTTGACCTGCATCAGACATCACGAAGACCCAGAGTCTAGCCCTAGCAAATTCTTCACACCTATATTCTTTGCCTGATACTCCTGGTCGGAGCCAGCAGAGGCTCCCACTTCCACTCTTCCTCCAACCACCCCAGAGCCCAGACATCCACCTCCTACTTCCCACGCCCACCAGCTGGTACCTTCTACCCTTCCAAGGCCCCATGATCACCCGGATTGTCCTCTTTGAAGATCTGGGCACCCTGAGATGGACCCCTAGGTGGGCCTGAGTCTACCGGGAAGTTCACTAAAGATGTCTCAGCATTAGTGTGACTAAAGAGCTGGGTCGGGGCAGTGAGTGAGGACTGAGCAGAGCCATGGAGACAGGGAGATGGATGAGTGGGTAAGCAGGAAGATGGAATGGGCAGAAGAGGGGGGGAATAGGGGGTGGGGAGTGCATGGACGTAGAATGGATAGATGCGTGGGTGGGTATGTGAATTGCTGGGTAGATGGATGGTGAATGGGTAGATAGGTGGGTGGGTGGGTGCATTGGTGGAGGGGGGTTGGATGGATGGATGAGTATATGAATGACTGGGTAGATGCATGGATGGGCTGATAACATGCAGAGAATAAAATCAAGTGTTTGAGCATTCCTCTGGGACCATGAAGGGGCTTTAAAAAAGGGCCCCTAGGCAGCAGGGTCACCATGTGTTGCCACCTCTGCTTGAGGCTGCGGGACTGCAGTAGTGAGCCTTCTGAAACTCAGATTGTATCGCCGCGAACCCTCAAGTTCAGAGCTCCAATCGTGCAGGAAGAGGGCAGCCTCCCAGACTGTAAAAGGCCACTTCCCACCACACACATCGTACTCACCTCGAATCTTGCCCCGGCCCTGCATGGAGTAGGCAGGGGGACAGCTACGGCCAAAGCGAGTAACTCTGGGGTCCAAGAAATACACAGGTCCTGGGCTGGAATCCTGAAGAGGTGCTGGGGAAAGGACCCAGAAGCGCAAAGGTTCCGTGAGCTCCCCACACCTGGCCCAGAGCCGCCTGTGAGCCGACCGGGGAAGAGCTGGCTCTCCGGAAAGGGGTCAAGCAGAGGGACTGTGTGGGGCCCGCCAATCCCAGCAGGGCCTTGGCTCACACTGAGTCACCTGGAGTCACCCTTGAGATGGCTCAGCTTGCCTGACCCACATTTTCACATCAGTGTGGAAGGAAGAGATCACGAAGGCTACAGTTGGTTACCATTTTCACAGTTGTATATGTGGGAATGGAACCTAGGCCGTCATAAATGGTAGTCTTGAGCTTCCCTCTCAGCCACATCCCAGCCCCTCACTGGGGGATTCTGGGCGGGGCTCCACCCTGACCACGCCCCCAGCCCCTCGCTGAGAGATTCTAGGTAAGGGCTCCATCCTTTTTCCCTTAAACCCTTAATCTTCCTGCCTCAGTTTTTGAATTGCCAAAAACGACAGATCTGTATAACACCATGCTTGGCCTGTTCACTGGTTGCTGAACTTTAGACACTCCAGCATGTGCATTTGGGCCCGTGCCGGGCCCACAGGTGAGGACTAAGCTTCACCAAGTCTTTCTCAAAGCCTCAGTGAGTCCCAGGATGTGTGTAGGTACCACGCAGGTGTGGGCTTCTGTGCAGTGGTCACTAGTGTTAAAGGATGGGCTCAGAAACACCCCACGCCTGTGCACCTAACAGCTCTTCGCTAGCTCGGAGCTAATCTAAATGACTCCCAGGATAGGAGGAATGGGGTCGCGGGCACCGATAAGTGCTGGGCCACCCACACACAGGAGATGCCTGTCCCTCATCACCTCAGCCAGCCTGTGGCAAGCAGGACTGTGGGCGCTCAGCCCCTGCTCGGCACGGGCAAACCTCCTTTCCATCCCCTATCCAGTTTGTGTAATGAGAGAACCCAGCTCGCCAGCCAGGACGCGTCCCACCCGACCTGCAGGCGGCAGCGGGTGGGCTCTTCTCCTGGGTCCCCCTTCACCAAACTTCCTCTTTTTTCGGGGGGGTGGGGGTCCTAGAACTCGCTCTATAGACCAGGTGGCCTCAGACTCACAGAGATTCACCTGCGTGTGCCACCACACCCAACTAAGATTTCATTTTTCATTTAAACACTGTGTACCTGTCCGGGCGGATTTGTACTCTGTGGGTGCAGGGCCCACAGAGGCCGGGAGACAGCATCAGGTTCGGCTGGAGGCGGAGTTCCAGGAGGTTGTGAGTCGCCATCACCGTCTCCAGTCCCTCCCAGCACAATCGCACTGCCCACCCAGGACCCTCGGCTGTCCCAGCTGGTGAGAGGCTCACTGGACCCTCCGTCCCTTCTGACTCTAAGTATTCACAGCGGCTCCCAACCCAGGTGGCCTCTGTCCAGCCCGCTGGGGCCTCAGAGCAGCTGCAGGACCAAGGGCTGGATCTAAAGGCTGGTACATTCAGTCAACATCACCGAGAACTCAAAGCTTGCCGTGGGGTTTAGATGCCACACGCTACAGAATGTCAGAGAGAGGGAAACCCCATGCCTGCTCACCGCACCTATGCCAGTCACTAACAACCAAACTACACTTGGGACAGAAAATCCACTCGCAACACACTGAGTGCTTTTTGGACACCAAGCAGAACTGTGGCTTTTTTAAAAAAAAAAAAAAAAACAAGCCTAAGGTCTTACGCATGGTAGGCTAGGGCTCTACCCACTGAACTACACCCTGCACTCTCGCCACCCAATCCTTGCTGAGCCATCAAAACCTTGGTGTCTGGCCAGATGTGATGATACACATCTGTGATCCCAGAATTTGGGTGATGGAGGCACCTGAACTACATGAAAAAACAACCAACCCGATGTGGTACAGCCACTGGGAGGGAGACCAGGCCTGCCTACCCGGCCTTGCTCACCCTGAGGTCTCCTTCAGCTGAACTTTGGAGGCCCAAAGAGGTCCCTGTACTCCTCAGCTGGCCTTACCTTCACTGGGCCGCTGAGCGAGTGAGTAGGCGGGACTGGCTGTCTTGGTGCAGTCGTGGTTGACATAGCCAATGGTGGACGGAAGAACATACAAGCCAGGTCCGGAGCCTGAGACCCAAAGACCAGTTCAGAGCTGGTGTCTGCAACCCTGAGAGTCTGGGCAAAGCGTCCCATCCTGGTTTCCAGTCACCTCCATGGCAGAGTAAGGAAAGGGGTCCTAGGGGACTGGATGGCACCCACATTGTGAGCTAATCATGAGTCACAGGACTGTAGAGTTGGGAAACAGGCTAACACAGGAAACAAAGGCTGGGAGTAAACACCCTCGCTGGTGGGGAAACTGAGGCTAGGAACAGGACAGTTTGTTACAGGGGGTTACAAAGCTGAAGGCGTAGATCCTGTCACAGGTAGGGAAACAGACGCTAAGGGCAGAGATACTTATGAACGGAAAAACAGGCCAATAGGCCAAAGCAAAGAAACTCACAAGAGAGAAAACCAAGGCCAGAATATAGAGACCACAACAACTAGGGAAACTGAGGCTGGGGACATAGAAATCGTTGAGGGAGGGAAACTGAGCCCAAGACAAAGACATCATTCTGGAGGGAAAGGCGAAGCCAGCACAGAGAAACACCACCTCAGAGGTAGGGAGATGGGACCTGGTGTAGATCTGACCCCATTGTCCATCCTAGGATGGGAAACTGAGGCACAGGCTACAGCCTGAATCCTCCACGAATGCCCCCCTCCCCCGCTGAACCCAGCCTTAGCCCCTTCACACACTCTGCAGTTCCCACAGGTACCCTCCCTCTGACTCCTTCCCTCCAGTCCTGCCCGACCTGTGTCCCTGCTGGGCAAGTGTGCAGGACCAGCAGATCCCACAGGGAACATATGGACATATGGTCCTGCCTGTCCATGCTGCCTCTGCTGAGCCCTCTCCCACAAGGCCACCACAAACCATTCTCCAGGGTGACCATTCCACAGGACTTCCTTAGCCCGGTCTCTGGAATGTGGCCCTCAGCCACCCGCCGGGCCAGGGGTATTGTGGCCGACCTGGCCGCTGGGTCGCTGCTGAGGGTCCCCATGGTGAGCAGGGCCTGGTGTGGGCTGCTATGCCCTGCTGTTCTGGTGCCACAAACCAGGCACTGTCCCCGATCCTCACAGCTCAGCCAGTGTGTTGGCAGAGGCCCGGCCTCACCACACCCTCCCACCACCACACAGACAGCCCCTTGTCCCTACGCAAGGATCTCGGGGCCTGGCCCGAGCCAGGCTGGTTGCCGGACGTTGGCCTGGAAGTGGAGCTGAGATCAAGTGACAGCCAGGTGGCTGGATGGCCCAGGAAAAACTCCAGTGTCAGCCGAACAGGTCCCCAAGGAGCTGACTGAGCTGGGCCACCAGGCCAGAGCAGGCCCCAGGGAGCCAGGACTGCAAACAGGACACCCACAGCCGCATGGATAGAGTGCAGCACCCCATTTCCACAGAGCCCAGGGTTGTGTACAGCACATCCCCAGCTCGGACAAGCGCTCAACAGCAGGCGTGTACCAAGCACCTGGTATTGTATACCTGACTCCTTTTAGGGTGGCGTGAATGAAACAGGAATAAACTGGTAAAGGGTGGGTGTGTTCTTGACGTGGGGAGAGAAGCGATAAATGAAATAGATTGTTCTGGTATGGAGCATGCTGGGAAGGAAGGCCGTGTCAGGGGGAGAGGAGCGGCTGTGCAAAGGTCCTGAGGCAGGACTGAGGACAGCCGTCTAGGGTGGGGCCATGTTCTCATGCTGCCATGTAGCAGCTTCAGCTAGGGAGTTCTGAGAACGCTGGCCGCATGGACTCAGACACACTTCTGCCCGTTTGTCTCTAAGGTGCTGGGCATTTTTAAAAATGTAGTGGCTTGGGGTTTTGGTGGAGACAAGGACTCGCGATGTAGCCCAGGCTGACTTGAACTCCTCCCTGGTGCTAGGATCACAGTCAAGAGGTCAAGAGCATCTGTGGTCACAGATGGAGGAAATGGAGGAGGATGCACCTATATTTCTCCGTTTCACCACCATCCGACACACCTATGTGTATATAGATGGGCGACAGGGGATACGAATTGTGACGGGTGGGGGTGCAAACCACTCAGGCAGAGGCAGACGGATCTCTGAGTTAGAGTCCAGCCTGGTCTACAGAGTGAGTTCTGGGACAGCCAGGACTACACAGAGAAACCCTGTCTCAAAAAAACAAATAGTTCAAGTGGCCATACAGAGTTTATGGAGTTTAAGGAACTAAGACAGAGTTGCTATTGGATGATAATGAACCAGACCAAGCACAGGAGGGGGATGCTAAGATCAAGGCTGGAAGGTGAAACTGCCATGTTCTGTTACAAGGTAAAGGGCCAACCTGATCAGGGAACGGCAGGTTTGCATCCTGATCCAGATGGGCAAACAGGTGGCTGGTGGGCAACCAACAGACGGCGTCAACCAGGGGGACAAAACTGGATCAACGCCCAGGAACAGTTAGCGAGTCCTCAGCTTGTTGGTCCTTCACACACACACACACACACACACACACACACCAGGTAGTAGATGATGAATGAATTGGTGCGGGGCCACCGGTGTCCTTCACTTCACAGGATCCAGGTGTGGGATCACCTGTGTCCTTCACTTCACAGGATTCGGGTGAAGAAGTTTCCTTGCTTGGATGAATCTGATAAATTACTGGTCCTGGTTTACCTGTTGTTTCCGTGTGTCTCCCACAACCTTGATTGACCTCAGTGAACACAGAGCAGTCCTGTCCTTCCACCAGGAATACATGATGTGTCGACCTCGTATTACCCACACAGGCTACAGCTATGGGTCCACCCGGGGAGGGGCTGTGGTCACTCTTCTCCCCCAGGACAAAGCCAGAGGCTGCTTGTAAAATGAATAATGGTGGGGTCACCCACAGACCCCACCCCCACCCACAGTGGGGGGTCTGTTTTGTCCAATATAGAGTAACTTACGGTAGGGCACAGCCTGCTGGACAGAGCCCCATTCTGCCTCTCTACAACCAGAGCTGCCCAGTCAGAAAGACAAGATCCTTCCCCTGACATTGATCATAGACCCAGAGCCAGGCAGAGACAGGCCCAGGCCCCAGAAGTTCTCTGATCCCCACCTGAGGCTATTTCCTGGGCCCAGCCCACCAGAAAGCCCCAGAGTGCAGGAATCTAGGACTCAACTTGCATGTCTGTTTCTCCATAGGGACCAGGGAAGGAATGGAGGGAGGGAGGGAGAGAGGGAGGAGAGAGAGAGACAGGGTGGGGAAGGAAGCAGAGAGAGACAGTGGCACAGGCATGAAAGGCCCGGTCTGGACAGGAAGGAATCTTCCCCAGGCACATGGCAGGGGAAGGCTTGAGAGCTGGTGGATTCTGGAGCCGACAGCACAGGGAACTCACGGGTGCCCTCTGGTGGATGACTGGTGAATAGGCCCTAGCATGTCCGTGTGGGTCTGCGGAGAAAACAGTAGGAAAGATGGGGACATGAGGGAAAGCATAAGAAGGGATGGGAAAGTGGAGGGTGATGGAGGATGGTGGGGGACGGCGGGGGACGGCGGGGGACGGCGAGGGACGGCGGGGGACGGCGGGGGACGGCGGGGGATGGTGGGGCATGGTGAACAATAATGGGAGATTACGGCGTATAGTGGAGCATCCTGGGAGGATGGTTGAGTTGGTGGGTGAAGGCGTGAAGGAGTGGGAAGATGGTGACAACTGACTGCACTATTTTATTTCATTTTTCAAGACAGGGTTTCTCTGTGTAACTCTCCTTGCTGTCCTGAAACTCACTTTGTAAACCAAGCTGGCCTGGAACTCACCAGAGATCCGCCTGCCTCTGCCTCTTGAATGCTGGGATTAAACATGTGCGCCACCACCAGGCGGAAATGAGGGGTTTAAAGGAAGAGTAAATCGAATGAAGAGAGTGGTGCCCTCGGGATGAGACCTCACCCAGCGAACCCTGCAGGCTTTTTCCCTGAAGGAAAAAGTTATGCAAACATAATTTAAGGAGGGGGAGCAGGTTCTAGACTGAACTGAACAGACAGGAGAACTTGGCAGCTTCAGCCCTGTGGCTCTGGATTTGTCAAGAAGCATACAGGAGAGGTGGAGAGATGGCTCAGCAGTTAAAAACACCAGGTACAGAGGACCTGGGTTCAGACTTACATGGCCGCTGACAACTGTCTGTAACTCTTGTTCCAAGGGGTCCAACTCCCTCATGCAGATGTGCATGCAGACAAAACATCATTGTACATAAAATCAAAATTTAAAAACCGGGGGGACTGGAGAAATGACTCAAGAGTTAAGAGCACTGGTTGCTCTTCCAGAGAACCTGGGTTCAATTCCCAGCACCCACATGGCAGCTCACAGCTGTCTGTAACTTCATTTCCCTGGGATCTGACACCTTTACTCTAAAGCACAAAAAATAAAACTAAAATAAATTATTGAAAATAAATAATAAAAAGAAGATACATGGAATGCTGCTGAGGCCAGGGGTGGGGCAGGGGAGTCCCTGCATGGAGGCCTGGGAAGCCTTGGCATGAAGCCCATGAAGCCTGGATTGCCTTGAAGACCCCACGATGTTGGAGACACCAGGACAGCGGCCAGCTAAAGCAGCAGACAGGCCATAAAATGCCTAAGAGAGAAAAATGTGCTTCAGTCAGCAAAATCTCAAGGAGTGGGAGACATGAGGAGACCTCTGATAAACCCGTTGGACAGGGTCGGGAACAGATACAGAATCTGAGGTTTATCTTGTTGGGTTCTGGGTCCTACTTTGGTCCTACAATTTTTTGTTGGTTTGTTTTGGCTATGTCCCCTTTCTTCCCTTCTGAAATGATAACGTATGTTCTATGCCACTGTATGTTAGAAGTATGTGATTTTACAGGGGGTCACAATAAAGACTGTCTTGAGTCTCAGAAGATTGATCTCTGAGACAGTGTTGAGACTAAAAGACTATGGAGACTTTTTTATTTTATGTACATTGGTGGTCTGCCTGCGTGTATGTCTGTGTGAGGGTGTCAGACCCCCCAGAACTGAAGTCACAGACCGAGCTGCCATGAGCGCTGGTCCTTTGAGAGAGTATCCAGGGCTCTCAGTCACTGAGCCATCTCTCCAGCCCCCAATGGCTTTAAAAGTTGGGCTGAATACATTTGCATTATGACACGGCCATAAATTTGTGGGGACCAGGGGGTATAAAGTCACGGTTTGAGTGAGAACGGCCCCCATAAGCTTGTATGCTTGAATGCTTGGTCCCCAGCTGGTGGAATTGTTTAGGAATGATTAGGAGGCATTGCCACACTAGAGGAGGTGTGTCACTGGGAGTGGACTTGGAGGTTTCAAAAGCCCTCACCAGGCCCAGGCTCCCTCTGTTTCTGCCTCCAACTTGTAGGTAAGGCGTAAGCATAGGCTCACCTTCTGACACTGTAACCAAGCCTCCAATTAAATGCTTTCTCTTATAAATTGCCTTGGTCGTGGTGTCTCTTCACAGCAATAGAAAAGCAACCAGCAAGCCAGATAGTGGTGGTGCACATCTTTAATCCCAGCACTTGGGAGGCAGAGGTAGGTGGATCTCTGTGAGTTCAAGGCCAACCTGTTCTACAAGGGCTAGTTCCAGGACAGGCTCAAAAGCTACAGAAAAACCCTGTCTCAAAAAAAACACAAAATCAAAACAGAAAAAGAAAAAAAGGAAGGAAGGAAGGAAGGAAGGAAGGAAGGAAGGAAGGAAGGGGAAAAGAAAAGCGACCAAGACAAGGATAAAGGGGTTTATTTCAGATTATGTGTCCTGATCATGGTCCTTCATTAAGAAAAATCCCTGGAGGGGCTGGAGAGATGGCTCAGAGGTTAAGAGCACTGGCTGCTCTTCCAGAGGTTCTGAGTTCAATTCCCAGCAACCACATGGTGGCTCACAACCATCTGTAATGAGATCTGGCGCCCTCTTCTGGCGTACAGGCATACATGGAGGCAGAATGTTGTATACATAAGAAATAAATAAATAAATCTTTTTAAAAAAAAAAAAAGAAAAGAAAAATCCCTGGAAACAGGAACTGAAGCAGAGGCCATGGAACAAGGGGTTGTCCATGTCCATCATGGACATCATATGGGTTGTAGCCCCTTCAGGGTC